TACAACCTGCTCTCTGGTGGCTTTGAGTATTTCAGTTCTCTAGTGTTAGAAGATGAGAAACATCTATAACTTTTCTTGCTTTTGAGCTCTTTCTAGTATCCATGTTGATTTTTCTTTTCTTTGCTGCTCTCAGAACTGGTTGCATAAATGCTGTTTTCTCCTTTTAATGGGACAGGAATGGGTTTTGGCTCATGTTATAAAGTCTGTTCAGGATTTAAGATTTGTATCAGTTGTAGCTGAAAGTAGCCATAGGGCCCAAACAAGGGACCCAAAAGGAGGGGAAGTGTCTGTGATATTTGCAGTGCTTTGGGCATTATTTCCCCAGATCACCAGCTCTACACAACTTGAGGAAGAATTTATTTTTGTTTTACTATACTTCACCTTAGAAATCTAAACACTTGCAAATCTTACCAGGTTAAGGGTATGCCCAGGTAGGAGGTGCAAATATCCTGTAGAAGCCTGTTAGCTAATCTAAAGTAATGAGGCTAGGCTGAACCGTTGCCTAATACTTGAATAATTGCTCGTGCAGGAATGACAGAGAAGTTGGTTAGGTTGTTGCCCGTTGTTTCACTGCAAAGCAGTGAATTTATTTCATAAAGAATAAGAAGTTAAATTTTACTTACGTGCAAGATGTGTTTCTTAGTGTATTTCCAGATGTTATGCTCAGAAATTGGGGAAGTGAACATAAATCCTTTGAAAAGGGTTCTTTATGTTTGTTTTTTTTTGTTTTTTTTTTTGCTACAAGCCTAAAAGAGAGAATTTGGAAATATGGTGAGAAATTGAAAATAACTTTGTGAAATATTTTAAGGATGTATATTAAGTTATTTAAGGGGATGTTTTAAAATTTTAATGGTGCATTAAAGTTCTTCTGAATACTACTCTGTAATATTTCAAATGGAATGATTTTGAAGTGTACAAGGTTGATTACAATTTTGGTCAACTACAGACTAGATTCAATCATGGCCATTAATCCTGTGGTCTTAACAACAAAATAGTAAATACGTGTTCTTTCTAAACTGTCTTATGCCCTTTCTAAACTCTTTCTTTAGCTCTGTAGGTCCTTACCAGTTTTTGAGTGCTGTATGCGTAGTCTCTTTTTCTTTTAAAGTTAAGTGTCCTGATACTTCATTTTTGCTGCTAATGCTTCTCTGCTTTTTTTTCTCCTTAATTTAGAGATGCTAACAGGCAAAAAACCCCCAACCAAACACCAAAACAATTCAGAAACCCTGTTTATGTTTAGATTTCAGCTCTTTTATGTTACTTGTGTTATTTCGAAGTGTAGGTGACTTATTTTTGGCTGTAAATTTTCTTTTTGAATAACAATAGTCTTTGAATGTCTGCAGTTTTGTGTAGTAAATTTGCCAGTATTTAAGAATAAAAAGTTTGGTTTCCGTAGCAAATAATTACTTGGTATTTCAATTTCCACCAAATTTCTATTGTTTGGGGTAAAGGGCAGGAACACCCTTTTCTTAAATTTCCGTTAAAATACCTGGAAATTTTTTTTAACCTGGTATGTGATACAGAATTCCACCCACCTACCTGCCCCTCAGCTTGTCTTAAATGCAATTTTTTAGTTTTCCAGAATTTAGAAGCTTTTATTTGCAGAGGATCAAATTCAACAGGCTTGTTTAAAAAAAAAAAAACAAACAACAAAAAACCAAACCAATTCTATCATTCACTTGTTGAATCAATAGCTGTATGATGGGAGAGGAGATTGCTCTATCAAGAGAAATAGATCTAAAGAAATCATAACATCTAAACCAAAGACTTGTCTGTCGTATCACAGATGAAAGGCTTTCTCTTCTGATTATCTGATGTCACTCCAGCCACCATCTGCTTGCAGACGTATGCCATTTCTCAGTGATTATGGGAGTCCTGAGCATGTGACTATCCAGACGTGTGGACAAGAGAAAGCTGTTTGACATAGCCTCTTGGGATTTCCAAAAGACATGAAGAAAAACTCTTTTACCAAAGATTCTGAAAGAAACTAAGTGAAAGATGTGTGTTCTCTTGTAAACAATTAACTAGTTAGAAGTTGAGAAACAAAGATTCAGTTTTTGTAGTGCACTCATGCTGGGCTTTGTGCTGCCTAAAGTCTGAAAGGCAATGGGTGAAGTTTGGCAAAGTTTGCTTGTGTTGTTAAGCTCCTTAAGGGCCAGCTGAGAAGGGGTACAGAAGGGCCTTTCAAGGCAATGCATCAGGAGGGGGAAGAACACTTTAAACTTCGTAGAGAGTAGTACGCCCTGCACTGACAGTTTCTTGTAAAGATGAGATCTTGATGTTTTTGCAGAAAACTGCCTTGATAAGTCTTTCATGATTTTCTGCTGAGAATTGAGTCTCAAACCAAATTTCAGAAATTATTAGTAATAAAGAGCAGAAATGAAAACAACATGTAAAAATCCATGTACATCCACCATCATGAACAGTGAGTACAATTGTGCCTCCTACATTAGAAAAAGTTATAATATGAATGGAAGAAGAATAAGGAAGGATGGTAAGAGTGGTCAAACATATGGAATTGCTTCTCTGTGAAGAATAAATGATACTCTAATGTGGAGAAGAAAATAAGGAGGTATATGATCTCGGTCTGTGTAGTCATCAGCAGTATAAGGAAGAGTCTGAGGGCAGAATGACAAGAAATGAAAAAATCATCAGACAGTAGGTTCAAATTAAACATGATGCTCATTTAAGCTGTGAAATGCCATAGCACAGGACTCAGGATGCTAAGAGCTTATGGTTTACAAAAATCTAAACAAACTAGCAAACTGTATCTAGTTGAGAAGTAGTAAATATAAAGGCATAATCTCGGGTTTAAGAGGTCCCTGAATAAATTTCCTTATGGACCTGCTCTCAGCTGATGAGTTATAAGACAGATAGATTCAGATTCTCTTCTGAGAGTTTGACAGTCCCTATCTTGGTGGCCTAAAAAAACATGAAATGCTTCATGACAACCTAGAGATCACTTTCTGGCTAGCTTATTAATCATTCTTTGGAATTTTGATTATTTTTGAACAAACCAGGGATATGACTTCTTTTAGGATACAGATAGATAAGCTTAATTGTCAGACTCGCTGTGGTGCTTGTCTGATCTTGTGGTGACCTGCCTTCCTGCCCCCAGTATTTTTTTTTTGTGAACCCTCAAATTGAGGATGAAGTTGCCAGATTTTTCACGTTTCCAACTGAAGAGGATAGGCTTGCTGAGACTTTGTATGCTCCTTGGTCAGAGTTTTGTTCTGGTTCTACAATAGCAAAACTAAAGTTTTCCTCTCTTTTTTTTTTTTCTTTCAGCATATAGTTGAGGGTAACTAATGACTGGCTGTTTTCAGTGTTTTGACTGTTGAAGGATCATTTTTAGTATTTTGACCTCATTTAATATATATGCTTAACTGTCTGCTTATATAATTGAGAGTCAGATGTGTACTTACTGAACTAGAAAACTTTGCTGCACAAGAAGGTGACAAGATGGTGTCTTTGCTTGAAGGACCACTTGTCAAAAATATATACACATTCTACATGTTTTTAGTTTTATGTTGTTGACTTTCGTAAATAGCTCCTGGTAGATGCTTTAGTAACATACATCAATAAATACAGTTTGGGCAGTTGTGTCTCTTAAGAATGAGAGCTTCTCAGCTTGCATTCCCTCTTTCTGTTTGTCCTTGAATATTTTACCATTGGTAGTCTGAGGATAGCACTTGGCATGTCTGTCCGGAGAGTCTAGAAGTTGCATGTTGAAGGTTGATCAGGTTGCTGTAGGACACGCAGATAAAACACAGTTGAAAGGGTTTTAGCACCCTGCAGTTTACCTTAATTATTCCTCAATACTATTCTTTAACAGTTTGTTTTTACTGTATGCTTGGTGTCTCTTCTAATTATAATTTGACAGTAGAATGTTGCTCATGGAATTAAGCTTTCAATAACTGTTTTGGTTTTGTACACACAATTGTAATGATGGCTTGGTGTTCTGATACTTCTTTCCACTCCAGACTTGTTTGGAAATATAGGTTAGTAAAGTAGCTGCAGATATTTCATATTCTAAGCAGTTGCCCCAAATGTTAGCTTTGTGGTGTTCCTGTTTAACCACTTACAGTAGACAAAAGGATGTATTAGCTTTTGCTAAAGGCAGTCAGTTGTCTGTCTTTAAGCTATTGCTGTCAGACATCAGAAAAGGTTGCTTGCATTGACGTTATCATTATTTGGGAAGTCTGTTTCAATTTCATCTTTTGAAACTTTTGTACCTATTTTAAGTACATACACATTAAACCAACTTATTGTGTGCTGAATAAGTGATAGGGATGCCTGTACTAGCTTATGGTGTGGTAAATTTACTCAGGCTGCCACGAAACCTTTTTGGCAGTTTCTGTTGCAAGTTATTGGAGACTCATTCCAAAGAAAGTGTCGTGCTATGTTCCTGATCATTTAATTGTTTTGTCTGGATGTGAGGTATGGTCGAGCAGCTGTGTAGCTCTGTGATCAGACTAGTAGGATTTACAAGCTCCTTACTAGCCATAGCTATCTCACCTGTAGCTGAGTGAGATTATGGGCAGAGCAGACTTGTGCTTTGTATGTATCGGCTCATACGATCACACCGTTACGTTTCTCCGTGGTGTTTCTGAAAGTCTTATTGAGTGTCTCACTTGGTCATGCTCTTGCTAAGTTCCTCTACAACAGACACGACTGTCACAATTAGTATCCAATGTGGAAGGTCTCTGTTTTTATAAGGGTGATGCATAGTGAGTGTATTTCATACTGAGATCCAAGGGTTTTAAGGATGCTTTGAAATCTACACCATTTCATTTGCAGGACATTTACTTCAGAAAACACTTATTAAGCTGTTAGTGCCATTGGACTTGCACAGCTAAAGTTAGACAAACATGAAAAGACCAGTTGCTTCAAGCAGTGTTCTGTGGAAATGACTTTTATGTTGAGGAAATACCACTGGTAATGTGCTTTGTTTCAGTTGTTTGTACGCCTAAACTGAGTGCTTATCTTGTGTTTTTTAGCAGCACAGTGGAATGAAGTTTTCCATGAAAGGAACTCATAACCAAGGCAACAGCTACAGCCCCGTCAGCAGTGGAGGCATGAGGCAACCAGTTGGTAATCGAGGACACCACCAGTACAATCGTAATATGTGGAGAAGAAAAAAACACAGAGACAGTTTGCCTATTAGTCTGAGCAGATAATGGCAGATGCCAAAATGACCTTCCCTGTTCAGACAAACTGAGTGAGTGCCACTCGACTTGAGGGATGGAGACCAGCGTCCAGCACATCGTTTTATTGGTGTTGCCAAATATCTGCAGCTGACTTCTTTGCATGTTTCTTTGTGTGGTGGTTCAGTCCATCTTCAAGAAGTAGTTGTGCTTATCTGTGAAGCCTTATTAAATGTGGAAGTTTGTTTTCTGCCTTCCCACAATGGTTCATACAGTGCCGAAGCAGCTCTGACAATAGAACTGCAAGGACATTTACAAACGCTGTGGCTTTTTTGCTGTGGCTACATCTGTTCCTTTGTGGGTTCTGTTTTCTTTTATTTTAGAAGTGAAGGAAACTTCAGCCCCTTGGATTTTTTTTTTCTTTGCAGCAAATCAAGTTGGGAATTCATAAAGGCAAATTTGCTGCTCTCCTGTTTTTGTTTCAAAGTTCAGAATTTTTTTCTCTGTAAATATTGGAAGTATAATTTGTGCAATAACTTGGAATTTTTAATTTAATTTCATATTGTCACATAAGTTATATTTAAGGGGAAGAGGTTTTTTAATTTACAGATCCTTTCCCAGGTTGCATTATCTAAGTTGGGTTCATAGTTTTGGCAGGTTGTCTGAGCAGTGTTACAAATATGACATTGGGTAATATTTGAGGCTTCTTGATTCACAATGAAAGTGCGATTTGGCTTACGGTTTTAAGAAGGTATTAAGCTCCAAAGCATTTTGACCCTGTGTTTTTTAGCTCATTGTCTGGCCTCTATCAGTCGTCTTGCTCTGACCAATGAGTTTTAATTTTATTCCTTTAACTAGACAACAAATCCAGCATGGTTAGAGTCCTGATGTGAAATTCAAAAGCTGCGAGCTACATGCTTTGATGCATTTTAGTAATGTAACCTGTTATTGTTTGGGTTCAAACAACATTATTAAACAGAGGTACCCGGCTTAAGGAATGTGGAGAAAGGAAATATGTTGATTCCATTAAGGAATCTGTATAGCAGTATGCATTAGTTCTGTTAAGAGCAAATATATAAAAAGTACTTCAGCTGCTCTAAGCATTATGAGAAGTATCTTTTAATGTATTGCAGGAGAGCACAGCCCAGTGTTGTACACAGTATGAGTGGCTGGCACTTAATTTACAGATGCATACAGGTATACTATGCAAGTGTGTATTGCCATGACAAACACTGTCTTTAACTTTTTGAAAAATGTACATCCTGCCTAACCCTGAGTTTTTAAAGCACCACAGTTGTCCTGGGAGTAGGTCACATCTCATGCCCTCTGACTTCCTGTTTTTTTTTTAATGAGAGTTCTAAAGCTATACAGAAAACTGCGGATCAGTTGTATAAGTCCACTAGCAGAGGAAGCTGAAGAATCCTGTTAACAGGACATCTATACTGTGTACAGATATAGAAGGTTTTAAAACTGATATCTGAATATTAAAATGAGTTGTCAAGCATGAAGCTTTTTAATATGCTGTATGCCTTTGGAGCAGGAGTAGTTCATGTTATTACTGAATCTGTCGAACACAAACAGGTCCTTGAGGGGAGAGAGGGCAACATTCCAAAGTAGAGTAGCGCATATCTGTTTGCAAAAAGTTTGTCTTAATGCTCCAGACTCATCACAATTAAAAAGTTTTAAAAATTGTGAGCTGACTCATAAATAATATCTAAGGGCTGTTACATGAGCCTGTACTGCTTAGTCTTCACACACTAGCAATATTGAGCATAACTACATTAAAGAGCCTTCAAGGCTTTAGTTGGTGTCTTATACTAGCGTCCATTTTAAAGCAAAACTCATTTGAAAAGTGGTATCACGTAACACTTCAGTCATGGTGAACCAAATAAATTGGCCTGGCTATCACTGTGGTTATGTGCTACAGGTTTAAAAAAAAAATCATGTTTAAATTTTTTGTGTGGACAACTATGTGGAAGCTAAAATTGACATATTTTTATGTAAAGTTTTCTATTCTTTGATTTTTAATAAACTTTGGAGACCAGTCACTCTTCTGTATCTTTTTATGGGGAAGTTAATGGATGAAGTAACATGTGACTTAATTCTGTTCTTTGATGTACACTTTGAATGTCTGCTTTAAATTGTTCATACCGAACATCTTCAGAATGAGCTTCAAAGGTGAATGGATGCCCTCCGCAAACGTTTGTGAATGTGTTTATAAGAGGAGTAATGAGTGCTGCTGTTGGTTTTGTAGTTGTGGATTTGATCCCTGGATAATATGAGAGAGCAAAGGAGTTCAAAGTAGTTCTCAACAATGCTCTTAAAAGAGGAGATTAACTGATCCTTTGGGATACCTCAACTTTCCATATAATTTTTTAGTCCTTTCCTGTAGTTTCTAACTTCCTTTTAAAATCTTTGTCCGGTTTTTAGCCTCTTGAAAGATTGGATGTACCTTGTGTTTTTTGTTGATTTTTATTAATCCTCTGAGAGGACTCTGAGATGTCAATAACTGACTCAAACTCGAAATTTCAGAAATTAAGTCTTTAGAAGGAACTTGTGTAAATCTGTGAACTCCAAGAAAGGGAATTGAAGTATTTTTGGCAGACTGTAATGCAGGACTAGGGATTTGGAACCAGAGAGGTCTGTGGTACTTGGTCAGTCTTTGTGACTATCTGCTAGAGGAAGAGAGAAGTGGTGGGAGGTGTAAATAATAAGCACTCAATGTTTATCAATAGGTGCTTTATATATACAACTATATATAACAATACTAACAATTTTTTTCTGACAAGGTCAGTTAACCAGTGGCACACGGCTGACAGGGATATATAATCTCTGCAGACACAAAGATTTAGTGCAGCAGCATTGATCTTGGAAATTCAGTTTTCTTGGGCTCCACCTTTTCCTTTTTCCTGTCTAGGTGATGACTTTGCTTTATTCTTCCCACAGATTCTGCCCAATTGTTTATCCTTGTTGGTAATCTCCTGTTAATGCACAGGGAGTCTCACTGTGTTCCTTTGAACCCTTATTCACTGACAATAATCTCAGGTATCCACCTGATTGTTTCCCAGCCCTACTGACTGTTTCTGTACAGTGTTCATCAGCAAAATTAGCTGTGGGCTTTGGATGTTGAAGGAAGAGACTGCAAATTGAATGGATAAACAGGACCTATGGAGTATGTTGTAGGAAGAGCTCAATTGCCATCTGTTACCATTTCCAAGAGACGTTGATGCTGGTGTTGCATTGGACTTTTCCTGTAAGTTCATCCCCCCATGCGCCGAGGCAGGGTGAGAGTACAGATGGGACTGCTGGGACAGTGTCACTGGATCAGCAGTCTTTCTTTCCATGGGGAGGGCTGTGGGACACCCATCTTGAGAACGAGCATGGTCACAGTCAGTCAAGCAGTGTTGAAATGCAGTATACCCTCAAGCAGTATGAGCTCTTTGTCAGTTGTGGGCAAAAAGAAAAGCTTAAATTGTGAATGTGAACAGGCAACGGACAGCAGGGTGTGTACGTGTCGGGGGATGAATATGTCAACTTTTCAGGTCTCAACAAGCCGCCTACTTGCTGGCTGCTGCCAGTGTTCTCTGGTTCTAAATTTGGTAACGAACACCTGGACTAAACCAAAGTTATGCCCTGAACTCTCCAATTAAGAAACGTGAAACAGGCTGATCATGCTGTGTACTTATGCACATAGATTATTTTGGTTGCGGCCTGGAGCGTTCTGGAAAGTGGATGTGGTGCCAAAAAGGATTTCGGAAGTGGCCGTTGAAAGAAGGGAAGCTTGAAAAGAAAGTAAAGATTCTGCCTGGAGGAACGATCCTGGAGATGAGGAAGATGCGTGGAGAAAAACAACAAGGGATGCCCGGGGACCTTGGCTGGCACTGCCGGGGACTGGTAACTGTGAGTAGCTGTGTAGCATGAAGGGACACAGTTTTCTGCCCGACCATCACACGCCAGCAGGAAGCCTCCCTGCTGGGAAGGGAGTTGAGAGCCTAGCAAATGTAATGCTTTGGGGGAGTGAGTGCAGATGTGTGTGAAATAATCAATCACAGTAAAAACTCTAATTGTGTTGGTTTGTAAAAACAAAACCCTAGTATTCGCACCCTGTACAGGTTGTTGTTTAATTCACCTGTAACAGAAGATGGTGTCAGAATCACAACACTGACCATTGACTGAACCTCGGGCTCACAGCCAGAAGACACCTGACCTTTCCCAAACCATCTTCAGATGGCTTTAATGCGTTCTTTTCAACTGGAATATTAACCTATTGTATTAAATTTGTTTTGTTGTGGGGTTTGGTGGTTTGTTGTTTCTTTTTTGGAATTCCAACAGACCGCATAAGTTTCAGTCCTGGAGGTGCCTTGCCTATTTTGGATGACAGAATTCCTTCATTTGTTCTCAGCAGTAGGAGATCACTCAAGGAAACCTATGGACAGCTTGTGTCTGCAAGAGATCTACTGGGCAAAATGTTTTTAACTTTCTAATAAAGGATCAACTATATATTTCTAATTGGTTAAAGTAATGGACTACGGTTGTGTTTCAGTGAAAGGATGATAGGGATGTACCTTGTAGAATATCTTTGTACCTGAAACCTGAAAAATCGCTGCCTAAAGTTCTGGTCACGTTGCTTCTCAGTGTTATGTTACTGCAAAAGTTTTGAGACAGAATGTTGCCTCTGGGAGAGCAGTCTCAAATCAGGGATTCCCCAACCATTTGCTTTTTTAAGAAGCCTTTTTTATTGAGGGATTGTTGCTTGAGCAAAAAAAAAGAAATTATGAATGGAGGGTTGGTGGTTTTTTTTTTTTTTTCCTTCACGGAATAGCCCATATGCATGCTCATACTGTTGATATGTGTATCTTTATGCTTGAGATCAGGAAGATTTCCTGCTGTGGTATTGCTAATGGCCTTTGTGCCGCTGCCTCTCAGGCTAGGACTGTGGGTACAAAAGGCATCTCGTCAGACCCCGGCTACTTTCCCCTTACCCACTGATGTGGCACGTTTTTCTGCTGTGGATTCTTAGCTGTGCAGCACGT